TCATCCCTCTCCCACTCATAGCACTTAGAAAAGACCAGGGCCCCCACATGTTAGAAATGGGGTAATCCAAGAAATAAAGAGTAAATACACTGGCCTATCCTGTCCTTTCCTCCTCCACTACTTTCTTTCCTGTGGAGTCAGATACAACTCCAAGCCAGGCAGACCAATGCTCACTATGGGTCAGGTCCTGTTCCAAGCACTTTATATGTGTTATCTCAGATACTGGTATTCCCTTGGATTGCACCTTCAGTTTATTCCCTAATTACTCTAGTTTACATCCTCTCCTTGGATGACTTCATCTAAGTCATCTCCTCCCTTGAAATTTATATCCATATATCTATGGAATGGTTTACCTACTTGGGTATCCCACTGACCACAAATTCAGCCTGTCCAAAACTGAACTAATTATTTTCCCCCATCCAAACATGCTTTTCCTTCTGTATCCCCTCATTAAGTCAGAAACCTATGTATCAATTTTCCTTCCCCCATCCTCTCACTCCCATCTAACAGTCACCAAAGTTCTATCAGTTCTACCTCTTGGATAGCTGACCCCACACCATGTCCCACCTAACTCTAGTGGCCTTGGACCCTGCTTAACAGTTTCTAGTCTCATCCCCTCCAATTCATTCTCCATGCTGCTGCCAGCCTGACGTTTGTAAAAGTACCTGTAATTTGTCACTTCCCTGTGTTCCCTTCAACAGCTTGTGAATGTCTGAAAGACACTCTTATCAGGGCATACATGACTCTTCATCATCCAGCCTCAACTTTTCTAACTGCTCTCCTCATCTCCTTAGCATGAAACTCCAGCAATACTGTGCTCCTTGTTGTTCCTCAAACACCCACTCTGCTTCATAACCCAGTGCTTTAGTCTAAGCTGTTCCCTGTAACTTGAATGTCTCTTCCTCTTTCTTCTGTCAGGTAAAATTCTATCACTTCCTAATTATTATGCATGGAAATGTTAAAGAGTTAATTACTTGTTCATTAGCAACGAGGCAGGTAAATCATCAGAATGAGGGTGAGTTTATCAGATGGATAGTCAGTCTGTTAAAGTGAAATAATGCAAGCGATGACAGTTAAGACACTATACCCTGAGCAGGGAATAAAGTAATAGAGTTGTGTCTAAGTGACAGTGTAAGGAATGTGCAGTGATTGCTTCAGCTCTCAGGACCAAGTGGAACCGAGGGAGAAATCCTACAGAAACAGTCCTGGAACTCTTCTCTCATTACTACCAAAATGCAAAGTATTGACAGAGCAGGACTTTACTGAAGGAAATGTCACCTTCACGCCTTTCCTCCCAGGATTGAAAAGAATAGAAACCTCTCTTCTCACATACTAAGTAGGATGAAAAGGCTGGACCAGGCTGACCCCTGGTGGAAGGAATGAGCTATTGCATGCAAGAATCAGCACAAAACTTCCTTTTTAAAATTTTTAAATTATTTTTAAAATATTTATTTATTTGGCAGCATTGGGTCTTAGCTGCGGCATGCAGGATCTTAGTTGCAGCCTGCGGAATCTTTCGTTGTGGCACGTGGGCTCTCTAGCTGCGGCACACGGGCTTAGTTGCCGCATGGCATGTGGGATCTTAGTTCCTTGACCAAGGATTACTCCCGTGTCCCCTGCATTGGAAGGCAGATTCTTAACCCCTGGACCACCAGGGAAGTCCCAAAACTGCTTCATTTATTCATTCAAAAATAGTGGACTTCCATGGTGGCGCAGTGGTTAAGAATCTACCTGCCAAAGCAGGGGACACGGGTTCGAGCTCTGGTCCGGGAAGATCCCACATGCCGCGGAGCCTGCTCGGCAACAAGAGAGGCCACTAAAAAGAGAAGCCCGCGCACCGCAACGAAGAGTAGCCCCCATTCACCACAACTAGATAATGCCCAAGCGTCCAGCAACGAAGACCCAACGCAGCCCAAAATAAATAAATTTATTAAAAAGAAAAAAAAATTCACAACCTAATGATGAGGTAGGTAGCTACCTCTTTAAATGTTCCCACAGCAGCACTGGGGAGAAGGTAAGACCAGTTAGAAAGCCAGTGCAGCAGTCCAGGGGAAAAATAATGTGATAGGGATTTAATAACAATCAGATATGTGAAGTGAGGGAAACAAAGAAGTGAAGGGCTTCCAGGTTTCTGGCCTGGGCAAAGGGCTGGTTGTGGGTTGCAGTTCGCCAGTCTGTGTAGAAAAACGAAATTAGCTTTAGACATGTTAAATTTGAGGTGAATGGGGGACATTCAGGTAGAAATGTCCAATAAGCTTTTGGATATACAGATCTGGAACTCAGGAGAGAAATATGGAGTAGAGATTTTGAGAGTTCTCCAACAGGTGATAGTGGATTCTGCCTTCGGGGAGAAGGCATTAGATGAAATCTTGAGCAAACTCGGGTTCCTCCACCTGAGAAAACCAAATATTGAGTTAAACCTTCCATTGCCAGTCCTGAAAACACAAAACCAACACTTATTTATTAGAACAACTGCCACTTACCCAGTGACTGCTATTTGTCAAGATGTATCCTAGGTAATTCTCTCGTTTAATTTTTACTACGGTCTGACGGCTAGACATTTTTGTTTTACAAATAAGAACATTAAGGCTCACAGAAGTTAAGTGATTTGCCCAGTCACACAGAGGAGCCGGGTTCGAATAATACAATTATTGTTTAATTCTGAAATCTATACCTTTAACCATCTTGTTACACCATCTTTCTAAACGTCCTATTTAATTAAAACGTGAACAGCATTCCTCTCCGCGGAAGAATTGAATAAACTGTTCCGGATGCAACCAGAACAGAACTCACTAAAATGGCGGCTCCCTGCGGGGCGCTGGCTCTCTTACGTCATCACACTGCGCTGCTGCCTCTCGCGCACAAAGTGCCAGGGGAGCAGGCGGGCAGATGGAGGGGTCTCAGCCAGTGCGGAGGGGGGCGGGGCGGGGCGGGGGGCGTGCCCTGTTCATCCGTGGCGTAAGATGGCGCTGCCCTTTGGTCGTTCGCTGTGCCTGAGCCGTTGGGGAGCCAAACGATTGGGGGTTGCCGCCGTAGATGCCCGCAGAGGTAGGATTATATCATTTTACTCTCTTTTACTTCCAAAATAGTTTCCGTCTGTTATTCCTGGAGCCCGCTCGGAGAAACAACTCCAGCCCCTTCGACTCATTCCCCCTCCCCCACCGCGTTGGTCTTGAGATTCCAAACCTGGGACACTCTCTGGTTTCTTTAAATTCCAGGGCTTCCCCAGTCCGAGTTTTTCGGATCCTTGGGCTGCCCATACTAAAGCGCCCCCACTCTCTTACCCGCTTGACGTTCCGACTCTTCCGTGTTTCCTCGTGATCTCTTGACTGCCTGTTTCAGATCGGAATATGTACGTCACTGGTTCTAGAGTTCTAGCGCACGTCATTATCCAGCCTCTTTGCTCTGCCCGCAGGCGTCAGTTTCAAACTGGAAGAAAAGACCGCTCACAGCAGCCTGGCACTCTTCAAAGGTGACACAGGTGTCAAATACGGCATGGTGGGATTGGAGCCCACAAAATTGGCCCCGAATGTGGAGCGCTTCCGGGAGTGGGCAGTGGTGCTGGCAGACACAGCGGTTACCAGTGGCAGGCACTACTGGGAGGTGACAGTGAAGCGCTCCCAGCAATTCCGGATAGGAGTGGCAGACGTGGATATTTCCCGGGATAGCTGCATCGGTGTTGACGATCGTTCCTGGGTGTTCATCTATGCTCAGCGCAAGTGGCACACCATGTTGGCCAACGAGAAAGCCCCTATTGAGGGCATTGGGCAGCCAGAGAAGGTGGGGCTGCTGCTGGAGTATGAGGCCCAGAAGCTGAGTCTGGTGGATGTGAGCCGGGTTGCTGTGGTCCACACACTACAGACAGATTTCCGGGGTCCAGTGGTGCCTGCTTTTGCCCTTTGGGATGGAGAGCTGCTGACCCATTCGGGGCTTGAGGTGCCTGAAGGCCTCTAGTATGTCCATCACTGGAGTCCCTAATCACGCTCTTGGCCAGCCTCCTGATCCAAGTGTCTGAAACCTTTTAACTGTGCCCCAAGCAACTGCTAGCTCCCACAATTCAGTGATGGATCCTCTGTGCAATATCTGTCAGCTTCCTCTCCCCTACCTTGTGAAAGCTAGGCATACAGCTACCCTCTCCCCTCCCCCAGACTATTGCCAATTTCCTAGGCTACCATGAATGTACTTTCTCTGACTTGCTTCCTTCAGTCTCTCTGCCTCCCTGTGCCCAGGACTTTCTCAGACTGTATTCAGTCCTAGGGTCTTACTTTTCAGCTTTGTTTGAATTTATTCATCACTGTGCTACTTCTCCTTCCCTTTGCCCACATGTAACCTGTTTGTTTTGGGGGCTCTACCGAATCTCTCCAGAGTAAATCCTTTCTACCTCTGGCTGGAGAAGTGGTGCAGTGAATGACTTTGCCCTTTCTGTACAGCACGTACAGAGTCTGGGCTCTGGCTCCCTCAGGTAGTGCTTTATTGACTGTGTCAGAATGAGAACAGAGCCCTCCTTGCCTAATACCTCAGTGTTACAGACTCTCAGCCCCAGACAGCTGCAGCTCTCCTCACCCTGAGTCCATCTGCCTTAATTTGCACACCTCTGACACTTGGTCAATCTGTTGCAATCATTGGACCAGTTACAACCATGACCAAAGGGGAAGAGACATGTGGGGATTAGTACTAGAAACTTTATTCTTGAGAAGTTCCATCTTCATTTCTGCTATAGTTGTAACTTGCAGAGGGAGGAGGGAGGCCTGAAGTCTTGCACAATCCATTTTGGGGCCTGTTCAGACCCAAGCACTTGTCCCCACTTGGAGCAGAGTACACTTAGCCTAAAGCAGTATTTGGGATTGAAAAGAACCTAGTGGGGTGAGTATATATGTGAAATATGTATTCTTTGGGCTCTGTATGACCCTGTGGTTCCATCTTACTCTACCTTTATGATGGTGATGCAGCTGGATGGCCCTAGGGGAGAAAGAGAAGGACTGGGTCTAGCAAAAATAATAATTTGTGTAATTAAAGTTTATTTGAGCACAAAATACTTCCTCTGTCTATAAAATTGCTGTTAGCAGTAGCAGCACTTCCTGGTCAAGGGGGGCAGATCTCTCCAGACGACTAAAGCCTGGTGCATAGCTCCTCTCTTTCTCTGTGGATATATACATGTGCGTGGTGGCTAGAGCCCCTTACCAGAGTATCTCTCTCTCATAATGGCTTCTTCAGAGAGAGGAAGAGGGGACCTGCGTGAAGACCTGGGATGATCTGGAGTGGGCTAAGCCATTAGGCTGTCCCTTAAAGAAGCCCACAATCTTCATGGATAGCTCTACTGCAGGAGTCCACAAAGGCACTTCTCTATACTCTGTCTGCCAAGGGAATGGGGTATTTTGACTCTCACTGAAAGCACTGCCCCCCCCGCCCCCCCCACCACCACTGAAGCAGTGCGGCCCTCTGTAGCATGTTTGGTGGTTATATGTTAAGTGTGTGGCCAGCTCGTGCTTCTCTTATGCAGGGACTGTGCATGCCCCATGCTCACACCATGCTTTCTAAGTTCTCTTTGGACAGGGCCTCAGCTGTTGCTTCAGCCTGAGTCTCAGATGGTGTGTATGAGTCCTGGTAATCTTGGAGCAGTTTAACCACCTCCAGGTGGTTGAACTGCACAGCATCATCCAGGGGGATGTTGCCCCACCTGAGAGGAGGAACAAAGACCATGATCAGGCAAAGAAGACATCAAGAGTGCCCTGGTTATATACATAACTGTGGTGGCTGGAGGGCCGTGGTGGAGAAGCTGCTGCCCACCTCCCTTCCCCCCACTTTCAGCTTAATCCTACTCACCTGTCCTTGACAAAAGGATTCACTTTGCAAGCCTCAATAAGGAATTTAACAACTTCAGTGTGTCCTAGGAATACAGGCAGAAGGAAAATGAGAGGGTATAGATCCTGACCCTTTTGGTGTTAACATTAGTACAGACCCTTGGCAGCTGGAGTCTGAACTAAAAGGGGAGGGGGGAAAGGCCTCTTCCCATTTTCGCTCCCTGCAGCACCCAATAAGAGCCTGCAAACTGAAGCACAGCTGGACAAAACTAGTTGCTGCCCTTGTAACCTTGAGGGCACATACAATGCGGGGTACTCTTGGTAGAAAAGAAAGGTCTTAGGATCTGCTTCCTCTCTTATTTAACCTTCAGATACCTTCAGCTGCAGCAACATGCAGGGCTGTGCGGGAGTCATAGTCTTTCTGTTCCATGTCCATGGCTGACAAGGCAAACCTGAGAGGAGTGGAAAGTAGCTGGAGTTACCCAGATCAGCCTAGAATCACTGGTATCCTTTCTGAAGTGGGGTCAGACTGGATGAGTTCCAGAAAAAGCAAAACAGAGCTTATACCAAGATCTGTAGACCGTGTACAGTCTGTGTTCTCTATCCAGATGAGACTGTTACTCCTACGTCAGAGAGATGGGAGTGTGATGGTTCCAGAAACATCACTGCCTACCTGTAGTAGGTGCCCAGTACATATTTGTTGATGTTGGTAATCCATTTGAGGCAGGGTCCTTACCAGCCTCCTAGGACTCTGCTTTTAACACCCAGGTTAATCATAACGGTGGCTACCATTAATTAAGTTCTTATCACATGGCAGTCACTGTACTTTTTTAAAAAAACTCATTTAAATGTAGTCTCTGACCATTCAGTCTGACTCTAAGGCTGAAGCACTTAACTATATTGCTATGTTGACGGCTAATGAGATCTCTGACCAGGAGTATTTTATTGTGTTTATTTGGTCAGAGTAGAAGTACCTTCGAAGAGCTGAGACATCTCCACTATAGGCAGCAAATAACAGGTTCACCACAGTTTTGTTCTGGAAAACAAATCATACCCACCTGAGATTAACTGTGACTTCGAACCCACCCATGCCCAGCTCTACCCTGTCGCCCTCCCGCATGGATGCTTAGCCAAGGGTTTTACTGAAGTGTTACGGAATATTCTCTTCTGAAATAGTCTTACAAGCCACCTGGGGTTTTCCTTACCCGAACTTCTCCTCCTTCACGCCGTGGGTCTAATTTCCGAGCGCAGTGCCTCAGGTTGTCATAGTTGTGGAAATTGAAGAGAGATACCAACTTCTAGGATTGTAAGGCAAAAAGATTGTTTACTTCCTCCCTGTACTTAGTAGGAGCTCAAAATTGCTTTATTTTCTCATTCAGAAATATTAAATACTATATGCAAAGTGACTTACTTGGCAGAAGCTGACACCCCTATAGCTGTTCCCCAGCTTGTCCAGGGGAGGTGATAGACACATCATTCCCATGATATTGGGCACCACCAGGAGGATGGCTCCTGACACAGCTGACTTGGCTGGCAGGCCCACCTTGGGGACAAAGTTGGAACTGTGGATGAGCAAGAGGTGCCCCAAGTCTGTGTTAACAAGTTAGTCTATCCCAAATGACTTCATGGGCAAGGCCACAGCCATCTCAACCTATTGGCTTGTTAATTAGCTTTTCTTACTCCTGTCCTCCCCTGCCCCCTCTTAAATTTATGGCTTCAGTAAGGAAATATTTACTGAGTATCTACTCTGTGCCTGATGATGTGCTAGGACTAGGACAAGGTCTCTCAGTTAACTTACATTCTGGTGGTAGGACAGAGACAATAAATAGGTAAACAAACAAATAGACAAAAATAATCACAACTTATGATAACATGTTAGGAAAAAAGGAGGGTGCTGTGATAGAGAATGATGTGGGAGGGAGAGCCCAGTGGAGAGAGGGTGGTCAGAAAAGCCTCTCTTTGGAAGTGACATCCTGTATGAGACCTGGAAGAGAATCACCAGCCATGTGAGGGGCGGCAGAGGAGTGGTTCTGAAGTTGCACTGTCATGTGTTTATGTGTTTGAGGGACTTACTGTGTTTGACAAACTCCCCTAAGGATTCTTGGCCTAATTGCCCGGCTGGAAGTTAGTGAGTGAGAGGCAGGAACAGGTGTCCACCTCTCCACCTTCAGAAACTCGGTGTCCCCTTTTCTTGGCTCTGGGCTCATGGCAAATGGATGGCAGGGCCAGAAGCACTCACATGGAAAGCAAACTGGCCCGAGAGGTCATACATGCCGCAGGAGTGCATGAGGCTGAGGGTGTTGCGCACTGCTTCAGCGCTCAGCACGCTCTCGCCTGTGATGGGGCAGATCCCGCCATTGGCCAGGGTGGCTGCCATGACACTGCCTGATTCACAGGTCACCTCCACGGAGCACAGCTGTGGAGACGAGGCAGAGGTGAGGGTCCGGTGTGGACCTGAATGCTGTGCTCTGAGGTGTAGAGCAATGTTCTCGACATCCTGATCCTTCAGTAAGTTCCCCTGGTGTTTCTGAAGGATGCCAGAACCACTGGAGATGAGTATCCCTCTTGTGGGTCAGAGCAAGGAAGGCAGTGTGTCCCGTTCCCTTGGCGCTGGGCTGAATGGCGGCATCTGCTTACCTGGAAGTAGAGATCCAGGGCAGCCATCATGTCCACCCCTTTAGGAAAGCACTGCAAGGAAGAAGAGGGGAGAGCGTTTCTCAGGCCATCAGCAGCCCCTGTCACACTGCCAGGACCTCAGCCGAAGTCCCCAGCCCCCATCGCCCTTCCACCAGCCACAGAATTCCCAGGGACTTGGTACCGGCCTCTCCCAGTTACCTTCTTTTCCTTTAGATAATAGCCGATGGCATAATTCCGATCCCCTGTTTCCTTCTCTGACTGGAATCTGAAGCAAACACCCAATTTAGTACTTGACATTTGAGGGATGGGTGTGAGGAGAAGGGGGAAAAATACCTTCCCTGAGAGAGACAGAACTAGATCACACATGTCAAACTAAATCAGCCCCTTTATTAATTCTCACACTTACACTGGAGAAAACTTCTGAACCTGAGAAAGCACTGGGTCCAGCTTTATTGTAAAGTGTGAAAAACAAAACCAAACCCAAAATGATCTAGTCATTTAGTCTAGGAAAATGAGGTTTTTGGTTTTGAGAGACTTGGCAAGAGAGGGCCCAGGTGCAAACTCTCACACTGTCTTTCTCATTAAGTACCAAATAGAAATGGAACAGATCCTTTTACAAAGCAAACAAATGTCCATGAAGGGGCTCAGAGGAAGCTGAAAGGCCAAGGTTCCCCTGGGATTTCTTCTTCCTAAGATTCTATCCTCCTCCTCCATTCCCCGCCCCCCACATACGTATACACACACACACACTCAAACACACATCCCCACACACATTCAGCCAATCCTGTGAACAGGGCCTTACGTGGCATTGCTGAAACCCATGTATTCATTCCCAGCCATTTTATTCAGATACTGCAAGACCTGGAAGAGAAAAAGGGGCATGGGAGGCACCCCATGCGTAAGGACCCCTAGTAAACACATAGGCTGATTAACCCTTCTGCACTCCTCAGTCCTTATCCCAGCAGGGACTTCAGGAGGCTTTCTTCCCTCACGCCAGCAGATTCCTACACCTCTGGAAATAAGGCTTCTAGTATGGGCTGGTACACCATCAAAGTGGGGTTAGAGCCAGGCACTGGGGCAGCTGGAATGGACAACATGCCATGGAGAAAAGCAGCCAGGGGCTGAGCAGTGAGGGAACTTACAAAATCAAACTTCTCTGCTTTGTTACAGTCCATCTGCAAGGAGACAAAAAGAGATATCAGTATTCTAAGCCTAGGAGGATGACAGGGAGGGTCAGAAGGATGTAGTGGAGATAAAGTGTTAGACCGGTTTTGCTACTGGGTGTGTGTTGCATTTTACAATTTTTTTTTTTTTTAACAACTGAGACTTTTTTATATCCATGCATACCTAGTGATCTTAAAAACCAAATCATTTAGATTTTATTATCAGGTAATGAGTACAGATAAGCTCACCCCAGCTATGAGTCTCACCCATCCCTGAGTCTCACTCTCATTTCCATTCTCAATGCCAACCATCATCCCTGACTCCCACTTTCATTTTCCTGATTCCAATCCTGTTCCCAAGCCCCACCCCTATTCCTGGTCCCTATCCTCATTCCTTACAACCCAGGCTGGAGGCTTCCTCTATCCTACCCCTGACTCCCATGGCCATTTCCAAGACTGGAGTGAGTGATGGGAATGGGAGGACGGTGTGTGTTGCATACATTATAATATTCAATTATATCAATTATATTGATAACTGAAATAAAGCTAAAGATTTTAGCTAAGAGTCAAGTCAGTAGGGCCTGTTTAGATGGGAGTGGGATGAGGCAGGCCCCAGATACAGGGCTGTAGATAGAGCTATCCCGGAGCAAGGGGAGAGCCTGAGCCTGGTCCATCCCCCTCCCCCCACCCCACAATTGCTTCCTGTACTCGTCAGCTATAGTGTCAACACCACAGGGACTCTGACACTTGGGTCCCTGGGGGGAGGGTTCCTAACACCACCTTCCCCAGGAAGGGCTGTGATTGGCTCTGGATTGTTGCTGCCCACACTGCTCTCAGGTTCTTGCTCAAGCCCTGGGAGACCTACAGCTGACAGGCTGGCCAGACACCCTTGCTCAAGGCCAACTCACAGCTCCAGGTGACGTGAATAGCTGCCCTGTTCTGGCCATTCACCCTTCTTTCCATGTGTCCCTCACCCACAAGTGGCCAATCAGTACCTAACAGAGCTGTCCTCCCCCTGTGTGTGGCATTTGGTCCTTCGTGCTAGGCTGGGGTCAGGACCTGCTCACTTCCCTCAGAGCCAGGAAGCTCTGGGCTCCAGACTCATGGGTAGGAGCTGGGATACAGTTCCATTTACTAACATCCTCAGAATAATTTGTGAGTCCCTGCTGTGTCTTCACTGCCTCCTGGGCACCCTCAAAGGAGTCAAGTCCCCACCAATCTCCCTGGAGAGACAGGCAGATACGAGGGATATAGGAACAAGGGGGTTTAGAGAACAGTACCTTCCAGAAGGCTAGGGTGGCACTGACCTTGATCAGGGAGCTCACAACAATGGCACCAGCATTGACCATGGGGTTATGGGGGATTCCTGGGGAAATACAAACCACCCAGAGTCTTACCAGCCACTGAGCAAAACCTTTACCGCCTGCCCACTCTGTAGGGTAAATGGGAAAGATCTCTTTGCTGGGGAGGATGGAGTGACAGAGCTGATCAGGAAGGGCAGAGAAACACACACCCTTGGGAGGAGGGTAGGGTAAGAAGGGGGCATCTGTGAGTCTGGTCTGAGCCCAGGGAGTGCTCACCTTCCTCATTGAGGGAGAGCTTATTGTAGCGCAGGCCGCTGGGCTCCTTGCCCACGAACTTGTGCACGTAGTCAGTGCCTAGGGTGCTTATGGAGATGGCATAGGTGAGGGGCTTCACACAGGACTGCAGGCAGAAGGGGATCTTTGTGTGGCCCACGGAGTGCCTGGAGGCAAGCAGGTGCCATGAAAGGGGTCGGACTATGCTCTGCCCGTGTGCCCTGCCTCCCCTTCCTCACCCAGCATCTCACCGCTGACCGTCCACAGTGCACAGGGAGACGCCCCACAGATCTGGATTTGACTTGGCCAGCTGAGGGATGTAGGCCGCCACCTGGGTATGAGTGGGTAGAGAAAACAGAGACAGGATGAAGACGTGGATGTGGAGAGGGGGAACAGAGCTGAGGTTTGGGTCAGGAGAATCTTTTAGATAAAAGCTAAAATTCTGTCTTCTGCAAGACAAACAGGGTTCCCTCCTGCCTGTTGTTCCTAGAGACACCCAAGCCTTAAGTCCTAGAAGGCCTCGTATTTCTGCAGCCCCACTCCTATAGAGATGGCAGTAAAGCCCATATAAGGTATAAAGAGAATTCTGGGGTCAGCTTCCCTTTTCTGCTCTTAGGCTTAATTACCCTGTAGGTCTCCTTCAAAGTTCTATTGAATCCTTATGTCAGCTGTCTCCATAAAAACTTCAGATTCCCTCACCTGTTCTAGAAATCACAGGTAAAATACATAAAGCCCTTGTCCCCATTTTTAGAGGTTCTGCTTCTCATCACTCATCCACTGGATTCCCAGCCCCAGGAAATCTCTGAGAAGCAAGGTATATCTGGTCCAGAGCCCTTGCCCATCCCTCAGTCCCCTGGCCCTCACTTTGCCTCCAGTGAGCTCTTTGGCATCCTCAAAGATGCGGTCCACATGGCTCGTGAACTCCTCAAAATCAGGAATGACGAACTTCTTTCGGAATGCCTGGGTCAGGAGCACAATGTTCCTGCTCACACACCTGGATCCCAGACACGATTGGGTTAGGGGGCTGGAGAGATGCAGCTGTGACTCACTCTGGAGCCATGGAAGTTGGGAACGAAGAAAGTGTGAGTGGTCATTGGGTTTGGGACCAACAGCTGTGTAACCTTTGGCATATCACTTGATCTTTCTGGGTCTTAAGTTTCTATGCCTCTAAAATGAGGGGTTGTAATGATATGTGAAGATATTCCAAGACACAGTGTCTTGGGATAGGAGAAAAAATAAATACCTGAATAATATGTATGGTAGGTCATCTTTATATTTTAAATCTTAAATTATACAAGTATGTTTACATATATTCCTATATATATATGTAAATGCTTAGGACATTATGTAGAAGATATCTACTAATCTGTTAACAATGTTTACTTCTGGGAAAAGGGACAGGGATGGGGAGAGAGGGAAAGGAGAACATGTATTTCTCTGTTGCTTGAACTTTTACAATACGTATAGGCATATATATGTGTTACTTGTGTAATAAATAAGTAATAAAGTTGAGAGGTTGAATTATCCAATCCCCAGTATCCCTTCCTGCTGTCAAAGTCTGTGTCCAAAGAACTGCTTTGAGAGCAGTGCCCTTGTTTCCGGGGCCCTCACTTTCGGAAGAGATCTCGGTCCAAGAGGCCACCACTGCTGGTCTCTCGAACCATGCGGCGCATCTGGCTCATGCAGTCCCGGAGCCGGGGATCTGACGTCTGCAGTCCAGTGGCCTTCAGTGCCTTCAGGGGAAAGGAGCCTGGTAAGGTCAGCTACAAGGACAATAATCTAATCCTAATCATTTTTCCCAATGGATAACAATTAACTCAACCCCAACTACTACAACAGGTGGAAGAAATGGGTTTGCAGACCAAGATAGGATGGAATATAACAGTTTTGAAGGCTAATAGGGGTTTCCTGCCCTTTTTCATCAAGGCAGCTGGTTTCTGAACCCCTTGGGTCAAAGTCGCAAACCAAAAAGATGGACTGAGTTAGAGGGTTGAATCATCCCACCTGGGGCAGGGATGGGATTGCCTCATCAGCCTAGGTATCTGCTATCATCAGCTATTCTTCATCCTCATGAAGCAACCCATTAGCTGCCCTGTACTTGTCCTACCTTCCTTTCCCCAGTTTCCAGAGATCCTAAGGGATCAGTGTTCTGAGCAGGTAGAGAGGAACTTACAGTAGTGAACTTGTGGATAGGGATTCGTTCCTGTCCCTCAGCAATAGTGTAGAAGAGCAGATCACCCAGACGGGACAGCATGCCACTCTCTGACGAATCACTGTTTGGGGGCAGAGACAGGGGAGGAGGACAGGAACCTGAGAACTCCTCCCTGCTCCTCCTCCTAGAACAAGGGCTTAGCAGCAGGTAGGTGTCCTCAGTCTACACCTTCTCCCTGAACCATCTGATCTACCCCTATAATTCCAACCTTCACATCGGTCCTGAGAAGTCTTAAATCCTATTCTCTTTCTTTTGTTCCTAAACTTCAGACATTTATTTCTAGTTGCCTTCTAAATACTTCCATTTCTAGATGTCCCATAGGCACTGCAGACTCAACATGTCCAAGCCTGAGATCATCTTGCCTCCCTCCCTCTGCTCCTCCTCTTGTGATTCCCATTTGGATTAATAGTGTTACCACTTACCCGGGGGCGGGGGGCAAGCCGGAAATGTGGAATCACTTGGATAATTCCCATACCTTACGTTCATAACCAACATTGGATGAATCTACCTCCATAATGTCTCTCAAATCCACCCTCTTTTCTTCTCTTCCCCTGTGCTAGCACGGTGTTGTAGAAAGAACCAGTTTGCCTTTAATAGCTGTGATCTTAATATGGATAGTAAGTCAGGTTATTTAATAAAGCTGAACCTGTTTCCTCATCCCTAAAATGAGGGTTTAACATCTGCTTCACATGGGTGATGTGAGGTTTAATTTAAATGCCATTCCATGAAAAACCATCTTTCACAAAGTAGATGCTCAGTAGCTCCTTGTTGTCTGTTACCTATCTGCTCCTACACTCTCTTGACTTGCAACCCACCTTCCACAATGTGCCAGTTATCTTTCTAAAACTCAAATATCATTTCTCTACTCAAAAACCTTTGATAGCTCCCCAGTGCCTACAAAATAAGTTCTTATTCCTTGGTATGGCATTCAAGGCTCTTTAAAACCTGTCAATATTCCTTTCCTATTCTCCACTATGCCCCCATACTCCAGTTATGCCAGGTAATAAATAGGTGGCCTAGGCACTGTCAGGCTTCCTGGCCCTTGTTGTTTACACTGAAACTTCTGCATGGAAAGACCTTTTCCTCCTTCACCTGCACAGTCCTGCTTATCCCTCAAGGTCCAGATCAAATGTTACTAACTCTGTAAAGCCTTTCCCAAACTTCTTGATTTTGCTTATGCTGCTGGTATGACACAACATACCATCTTATTGACAGAAGACAATCTCCCTTGCTCCACTGTTATGTCTTCGTGTTTTATACATCTTTGTCTTCCTAGAACTGAGCAAAGTCCCTAGCACACTACGGATCTTCAATAAAGAATCACCAAGTTACATTTCTAGGAATACCCCTGTTCCCTAAAGTATCTCTCTCACTGGATTATAGCACCTAAAAATACAGGTACTAAAGATTTTTGATCTTCAAGATTTCTTCTATTAATATGTTAACAGATTTAGAGGAATTATTTTATCAGCTCATGCCAAATATGATAACTATGAGATTAGACCCTTCAAAACCCTTAGATCCAACAATTTGACTTCCAGGTATTTACCATATAAGTGTATTCACATACCTACAAGGTAACATATTCACAGTCATTCATTGCATTGTTAGTAATAGTAACACTGGAAACAACCCAAATGTGCATCAACAGGGAACTGGTTAGGTAAATTAGGGTATATTCATATGATGGAATATTATGCAATGTAGAAAAAAGAAATGAGGGCATGCTTTAAGTATTGATATGGAATGATCTTTAAGATGTAATATTAACTAAAAGAAGAAAGCTGTAGAACAGCGTTTATAGTATATGGTACTATTTATGCTTAAAAGGGAACATATATATGTATGTTTTTTCAGGCACAAAATATTTCTGGAAGGATATATAAGAAACCAGTAAGACTGATTTAGCTCCCTCTAGGGAGATGAAGCAGGTGCTAGGCAAAAGAAGCAAGAGGGATACTTCCCACTATATATCTTTTTATATATTTTGAATTTTGAATCATACAAATATGTACATTTTACCTAATGGATATGATATATTGATATATGATTATGAATATATTATCTATTGAAACAATGCATTTAAAAATAAAAAGCCTCTCAAGGAACTTGGCATAGACTAGGCATGTGTGTGTTTTGGGCCAGGAGGAATACCAGGAGAGGGGGGAGTTCTTCTGTTTCTGAAGAAATCCAGTTGTTATAATGAGGCTGGTGCCTATAGGGAGGAAAGGATCCATGTGGTGGCAGAGGAAGGGAGGAAAAAGCTATCTGAGGAATAACTCAAGAAGGAAAGTACGCAGGAATATTTTGAGGCCAGGTCTCCTTGCCTGGAAAATGAAGGAAGACAGGAAACAATGCCACACGGCTGAATGTATCACAAGCATTTAAAAAAAAATTGCATACCCTTTGACCAAGATATGGATTGATCTGCAAGATAATGTTGGGGGTGGTGTAAGGTGCAGAATAATATGTATAGTATGATACCACTTGTAAAAAGTGGAAATAATATCAACATATATTTGCTGATATATGCATAAAATATCTCTAGAAGGTTATACAAAATATCAGTGACATGTCTCTGGGGAGCAAAATTTCCTAGGAATTTAAGAAATAATTGAACAAGTGCATAAGAATATGGAGTAACCAAATAGAAGACTGGTTAAATAAACTGATACCTCATACAATGGAATCTTAAAATGGCAAAATGGCAGCCATTAAGATGACATCATGCATGCCCACATTAAATCATAATAACAGCTGTTCATAAATGGGAAATATAGGCTACCAAAGAATAGGAATACTATGATCCTATTTTTGTTCAATTTTATATATACATATAGAGTATATATATGGGTTTAAATCATGGATAGATATTAAATATGGATATATGGTTCCCTCTAATATTGGGATCTTGATTTTCTTCTTGATACTCTATTTACCTGGTTCTTCTTTAATAATTAGAAATAAAGTTAAATATTAAAGAAACAAAACAGTAACCTAAATAACAGGGCATTTTCTCTTTGCTGCCCTCCTTATCCACCAAGAACACTTCCCCTCATGGTGTCACACTCCCAGAACCCATCCCCCTCCATGCCCTCAACTCCTGCCCAAAGGAGCATTGGTCCCAGGCCTTTACCAAGAAGTCCCTAGGAGCACAGGCAGCAATAGGCAAGAGGATTAAGGTTCCTAAAAACAATTCCAATTGTAAATCAACTATACGCCAATTAAAACAACAACAGCAACAACAAAACAAACCACTTCCATCACCTGACACCACAGGGTAAGGAAGGGTGTGTGTGGAGGAACCAGGGATGCTTCTTGCTCCCCATCCCACAGAAGGTGTGAGGGTGAGGGAGGTTAAGCCTTTTCTCTAACCCACCACCATTTCTCCCAAGGTGATTATTTGGGAAAAGTCAGGATGGAGAGTAGACCAGGAGAGAGAGGGTTTATTCTTTAAAATTTAAACATTTTGTGTCTCCTTGAGAAGAGGCTGATGGAAAAGTACAGCATAATACTAATTCTCATTAATAATAAATAGATAATACCTTATTGGATGTTACCTATCCAGGACAGGGACTCCAGTGGTGGTGAGGTAGAGGACAGAGCAGTCTGTCTGGCTACTTTAATTATGGTGTGCATGTCTTTCTGAATGTCATCAGTACATATCAATGACAAGGGAGATGGTCCATTTCCTGTTCCTGCTATAAAAAAGCAGGGACTACTTGGATAGTGTCTATGTTGGCTTCTGGGGAGGAAAAAATTTCCTGCTCAGCTCCGTTTCTGCGTCTCGAAGAAGCTCAGCCACCAAGTGTTCCAGGGCGGTGGGGGAGAGAGGTGCAGCCTCTCGGGCAGAGTAAGAACCCAAGGGAAGAGAACCCCTTAAATCAGGGAGCCGCCTGAGCAGCACATAAAACGGCTCTGACTGGCTCTGGTTTGGGAGATCTGCGTCTTACGATTCTCCCCCCCCATTATAAAGATTTTCCTCCTTCAAAAACCAATCGGAGAACCACCCTTATTCTACAGATTAGGGAGCCCTGATAACGTACACACCCAACACATACGCAAGTATCTGCGCACCAGTAACACACGAGCATCATACACGCCGAAACACAGATCGACCACACACAGACCCAAGAACACTGGGACTCTAGGCAGGCTGTTCTATACCCACGCATCCCCTAATATACACACGAGGACAGGGGAGAGAAGGAGGATTAGGATGGGCGGTGCGCACACGGCCCTGCACTCAGACACGCGCACCAAGCAACACTCCGCACCCACCTGCGCTCCCAATTAAGTACGCACCTTGGACAGGCACCATCCCGAGGACCGACCTGCCCAAACGCCTTGCCGGGCGGACGGCACGTTACCGCCCGAGCGCGGCGGACCCAAAGCCCCAAATCTAAAGGAAAAGGCATCGCAGGCCAGTAAGCGAGGAGAGGAGAAGGGAGATGCGAAGCGCTCCTTGGGGAAGGGACTCGGAAGCTAGTGGGAACGACAGTGAGAGTGCCTGTCCTCTGCCCCTGTCCCGCGAGCCTTACTGATCCTGATGCTGCGGCTGGTGGCTGTGTGGCGTCTCCCTGCCCTGCGCCGCGGCCTCACTGAGGTGGTGCCAGACGCCCCCGCCAAGGAGGGGGCTCCGGCTCAGGTGACCCCAGCCTCCCCGCCGGCAGTAACTGCCGGCCCCGCTCAGCGCATTCTGCAGAGCCTTGATGGAGCGCATCCCCTCAGCGCGCCGGCCGCTCGGCCAGAGCTCCCAGGGCTTCTGAGCGGTGGTGGGAGGGAGGGGCGGAGGAAACGCGGACCACGTGGGGCGAGCTAAGCGACGGAGTGCCGGACCTGCGGGGTGGAGAGGTGAGACCCGGTAGGTGGGGTTGGAGCAGGAGGAGGGGCCGGTCCCTACAAGGCTCGGTACACTGCCAGGTGCACCCAATCCTCGCCTAGACAAGGCGTCGATGTGGAGTGCACGCGATAGGGAACACAGAGCGCAGGGTGTCTAGTGGCTGGTGAGAAGTGGGCGGTGCCTGAGAGTTGGGATGGACAATGCCCAGGCCCAATCATTGAGAAAGTAAAAAACTTGGGGGCGGAGATAAAACGAGGCTACCCAATGAAAGCAAGGCGGTGGGCCGTCCACAAAAATCCGGCGGATTCCTCCGCGTTCCGGCTCGCTGCGGCTCGCCGTGCGTGCAAGCGCCGAGGGCGGGAAAGCTGAGGTGGGGCAGTTGTGAAGGCGAAGGACGCGGCGGCGTCAGAACGATGGAATTCTCGGAAAGAGGGGAAAGCGGTACCTCTCTACACTCGGATAAGAGTGAGCCCTGCTCAAGAGGCCTCTTAGTGACCTCCGATATTCGAAGTCCAAAACCAGCCTTCAGTACCCGGCCTTGTAGCGCGGCGTGGAGGCCCAACGAATGCCTTGTTTCCAGCACGCGGTGTTGGTGAGTGAGGAGTCATGTGGCAGGAAATTACCCCGACCAGAAACAGCGCCCAGGCACTTCAGTGAGATCATGAGGCGGGGGAAAGGTCATCCTGGGCTGCTAGGGTGCCTGGGTTCTCGTTTTACCTCTGCCAATTATTTGGTGTCTGTTTAAGACTTAGGTGTCCTTAACTCTGAGCCCTTAAACATTTTATAAGCCGTTAGGTGTCCCCTAAATTTTAGCTAATTTAATTGCTTGCCTCTGTATTCCTCACAGGCAGAAAAGATGTACAAAAAGAATTTTGAAAAGTAAGCACATTCGGGAATTTTATCATTTGCAACTAGGAGAACATTCACCTATATCTTCACAGCATCCGTATTTAGTAGGAGCTCATGGAAATAATAGCTGTTATGGTTTGTCAACCACTTTATATAGTGTGTCTCTCCCTCTTACCAGAGACCTAAAGAATAGTTATTACTAGTCCCATTTTGAAGATGAGGAAACTAAGACTCAGAAATTAAGACTTTTTCTTTTTTTAATATTTATTTATTTATTGGATGCATCAGGTCTTAGTTGCAGCATGTGGGATCTTTTGTTGCAGTGCGCGGGCTTCTCTCTAGTTGTGGCGCAGGGGCTCAGTTGTCCCCCGGCATGTGGGATCTTAGTTTCGCCACCAGGGATCCAACCAGCGTCCTCTGCACTGCAAGATGGATTCTTAACCAGTGGATGACCGGGGAAGTCCCAAGACTTTTTTGAATAAGATAACCCATCTAATAAGTACCAGAGTCAGGAATCAGACCCAAGTCTCTGACTACAAGGCTCTCTCCATCATGCAGCTCATCCCAAAATTAACCACTGAATTATTCCAGTTGCTCCTAAAGGAAGCATTTACGTCGAAGCAGTATAATACGGTACTGAGAATTGGCTAGAGGCTGGCTGTATCACAAAATGTCACTTGCTTTTCTTTTTGTTTTTGGATTAAAATGAGCATCAAGGGTAACTGTGGGAAAAGAAATATCAAAACGATACTCTGGTGCGTTCTGTGGAAAGGCAGTTCTCCTTTGGCTTGGTTAAGGACAGAGGGTTTATTTAGTTTGAAACCAGGTAGAGTGACCTTCCTTTTGTTTTTGTTTGTTTTTCCCTTCTGTAGTTATTCCTTATCTGCCCTATCCATTCTCCTATAGGTAGGACTCTAATTCAGGGATTCCAGCTTACCCTGGCTGCCTTATTAATGGCTTTGCCCATTACTTCTTTAAGAAAGTTCTGGGTCTTAATACTTAGTATAAATGCGAGCCAGCATTAACTTTTCCAAATGTAGTAGGCTAATCTTATCCTTGTTTCATAGGAATGTTATATCTCTGAAGTTTTTTGAGCTGTCACGAGAAAGATAACATGTGTTAGGGAATTTCTAAACATTACCCAGGTGTTTGCTTCCTTTTATTTCCTACCCCTGCTTTTTTGAATTAGCTTTAATTATAATCAGTAACAAGTTCCTCACTCTTTTTCTTCCCAGGTCTCTCTGATAGTAGGAACTGGTTGGGCAGTGAAGGAAGTCTGCCTGTAGAAGGGGAGGTTCTTTGCATAGAGATCTAGCACTTTGACCTTTGGACTGATTCTTCTTCCACTATAACATTGCTACTTTTGTATGAGGATGGAGGGTGAACCGGTGACTTGGGAGGCCCACAGCATTGTGTAAAGTATAAGATATTTAAGAACAAGTTTGTCATCCCAGGTGGTTAGAGTTTGGCAATGTTAAGTTCTTTTTTTTATTTCTGATTTGAAAAGGTCCTATCCAGTTAAATCTTTGCAAAAGTACTAGCCAGCTGTGACATGGCCAGCTAAACCCGAAGCTTTTCATAAGCTTTCAGGTATCTCTAATAGTAGGTTTTTAGGCCAGTCCCTTGTTGTGCTAGAGTTTTGTGGTGTATGGGGAAGGATTTTGAATTTTTAAATCAGAAAAGCTATATCCTCTGTGGTACAAAATTGGAAACTTGATGCTTATGTTTGGAGGATGTATATTTGTTATGATTTACAGACTGTCATTTGTTCTACTCTTTAGATTGTAGTTAGAATCTTAATTAGTCAGAGTGAAAGATTATTTCACATAAGTTATTTTTTTCATTAGCGTTTGTTCTGCAAAAGTTACTCTTGGTGCACATTCCTTCCTGCCTTAGTTTCTCCATTTGTAAAAGATAATCTTGTCTTTTACTGGGTAAAATATAAGTACTGGGAGCTCTGACATAATCATCTTCAGTTCAGTCAATGAATATTTATTCATTGGCCTATAGTGTGCCAGGCCCAGTGCTAGGAAATACAGAAATTAAAAACAAAAAACCAGTTTCTGATTATTGGAAGAAATGAGAAAGCCAGTTTTTAAAATTCCTAATGAAAAATGCTGAGGTGAAGAGATATGAAAAAGGAAGTAGAAAGAAGGGGCATCTAACTAGGCTCGGGGTGAAGGGTAGCTAAGATAAAGGGAGAGGGGCATCAAGGGAGGTTGGGGGATTGGAGCCAACTTTTTCTTTTTCCCATTCATGGATGGGTTTTTTAAACCCACTTTTTTTTTTTAATTTATTTTATTTATTTATTTTTGGCAGCATTGGGTCTTCGTTGCTGCACACGGGCTTTCTCTAGCTGTGGTGAGTGGGGGCTACTCTTTGTTGTGGTGCTCAGGCTTCTCATTGCGGTGGCTTCTCTCGTTGTGGAGCACGAGCTCTAGGCGTGCGGGCTTCAGTAGTTGTGGCGCACAGGCTTAGTTGCTCCGCAGCATGTGGGATCCTCCCGGACTAGGGCTCGAACCCGTGTCCCCTGCATTGGCAGGCGGATTCTTAACCACTGCGCCACCAGGGAAGCCCTAAACCCACTTTTATTCGTTAATTGTCAGTAGTACAGATATTCCAAAAATATAAACAGACACTTAATGGCGTCCTACATTTCAAGTGTTGTTTTTTTAAAATTTTTATTTATTATTTATCTTTAGTTTTGGCTGCGTTGGGTCTTTGTTGTTGTGCGCGGGCTTCTCACTGCAGTGGCTTCTCTTGTTGCGGAGCACGAGCTCTAGGCGTGCGGGCTTTAGTAGTTGTGGCCCGCAGGCTCAGTAGTTGTGGCCCACGAGCTCTCGAGCGCAAGCTCAGTAGTTGTGGTGCACGGGCTTAGTTGCTCCGTGGCATGTGGGATCTTCCCTGGGCCAGGGCTCGAACCCGTGCCCCTGCATTGGCAGGCGGATTCTTAACCACTGCGCCACCAGGGAAGCCCCTCAAGTTTTTGAATACAACAAGTTTATCAAACCATGAACCTGTGAGCAAGGTAGTCAGAACCCCACAGCCCAGTCACGTTGGGAAGCAGATCTCCCCCACCCTCCAAACGGTATCTTGAAGGGGGTTACGTGGCACGACATGGAACATGTAAAATCTGAGATACTACAAGCAAAGAAGCTCACGGGGCGCAAAGAGGAGGGTCTGCTCCAGGGGCAAACCCCACAGCAGTAAAGGAATGGTGCAGGGGGCCAGACCCCTGCCTTCCCTCCCCTGCTTGAATGCAAGTATTTACCAGTATTAAAATAAAAGGACAAAACTAAAACCCCATTTTACAAAAAAGGCGACTGAGGGACAGTAGTGGCAAGTAACCGACTGAAGACCTGAAGGGGAAAACAGGCTTACTTTCCGCAGACACTTGACCTTTCTGGGACATGGGATACAGGACAGCCTTACGGGGGGGTTGCCTTATTGAATGAGGCCTCATGAACAGGGTAGGGGTAGCAAAACAGGACGGGATCCATTTCCCAGGGAATGACTGCCTTTAGACTTCCCATGCTTTTAGCACAGAGAAGTTTCTGGGCCACTGTTAACAGAGGTGAATTTGTAAAATGGTCAAAATCTTTGGGAGGCAGGAGGGAATTAAACAGAAGGTCCCAGGTTAACTGAAGGCAAATTTACTCAACCTCGCTATAGTAAGGGACCCATGGACCTACAGTGTCCCCTCTACAATGTGCAGAGTGGAAACTCTGACCCTTTCCAAATTGGTCCTGTGTCCAAAGCTCCCCCTATGAGAGGGACACGAACATCAGGCTTTTGATTTAGAAGCCCAATCAGAGAGACACACTGTGTCCCTGAAGAGGCACCTTAAAGAACTGAACCTGGCAGGTGGGCAGATTCCTGGCACGGTGTGAACTGGGGTCGACCAGGCCTGGTGGCCTATTGCTTCCCGAAGACCAGCCTCAAACAGGAAGGGCTGGTAGGAAACCCCGGAAGAGATCCTGGGGTGAACTGGCTCTCTCTCAATCTTGCCTTCCTCCAAAACTGAGTCTGGCCTGATTCCTCTAAGGAGCACGTCTTGCAGTCATCTCTTGCCCCTAACACACTGTGAAACTGGAGACCAGAAGGTGCATAATGACTTCAGGCTGGCTCTGGTCCACACCGATGGACCCTGCTTAGACCTATTTGGCTGAGCTGCCTCTCCAGGGAAGGGAGGAGAGGGTGAGTGGGGGTGTGGCATTTCCGGTGAGGAACTGCATGGGGGCAGGGCAGGGTTCTGGCGAGAACGAGGCCTATGGAGCCAGGCTTCATGCAGAAGCAGCGGGGACACTCCCACCAAGCCATGCTGGGCTCTGGTCATGAGTCCCTTGGAACACTTGGACAAGTCTGATAGGAAAGCGGGTGGCACCAGCTCTTCCTTCACCTGGAGGCAAGGAGACCCAAAGCAGGGCAGAAAGGGGCCTCGGAACTGGATCAGCTTAGAGCCTCTTATTGCTTATTTAGTCAGAAAAGCATAGCTGGACCCCATGGCAGATTTGGCCCAAGGGCTAATCCTTAGGATGGGGCTTGGGAGAGAGGTCCCTCCTGCAATATTAGGATAGAGGCCTAGGCCAGGGCCTTAGAATCAGAAGCTCCCACTTT